GTCCGCCGGCGCTCGGGCGCTGCCGGCTTCCTCTTTAAGTTGGTCGGGCTACCTTTGGGCCCCGTTGGGGATCGCCCGCGAGCGCCAGATATTTGAATGCTTTTGCATCTCCGTACAGTACCTCTGCGCTAGTTACCGTAACGATATTTTCGTTTCGTAGCAGGAAGTAGCGTCTGTTCAACCGCCTTATCTTAGCCGCCCTTTCACAGAGAAAGTTTTGTCCGTACCAGGGAACACTGCGGTAATTCCGCATGTGATTACTTCCGTAGGCTTGTTGTTTTCTGTTGTTCTGTTTTATGATCAACAATGTTCAACAGGTGTGGCCTTTAACTCCTGCGGTTGTGTTTGATATGGAAGTTAAATGCACAACTTTTTGTCTATCGTATGTATTCGCTTGGCAGTTTGGGATTTTAAGAAAGCCTGTTGGTTTGCGTTTTGCTTTTCGCTGCTGTAAGCGATGTCAGAACTGAATGAAGAGCTCAGTCTTGTAGTGACTTCCCCGTAGTGACTTTTTTATCATCGTATTCTTTTGCAAATCTGTGTTAGCCCAGTAGCTTCCGTTTTTAGTGGGCGTTCCTTACAATTGGTAGTTTTGAGTTCCTCGTGATGTTGTCAAATTCTGATTTTATATACAGCTTAAAAAGTACTTTTGTGTCTTGGGTTTCAGCTTGAAATGCATCACATTGTACTTTTTCTGTAAATTATATCCTTTGTATTTTGGTAGCATCTACTTGGGTCTCATAAGTGCTACTTTTTAATCTTACAGTGCTGTTGCTTGTACATTGTGTTAATTCTTAATGAATATTGAACATCAGATAAAGCAAAACTAAATTGGATGTTTTATGCAAAGCTCAAAATTGTGCCTTTAAGTAGTAGTATTCAAAATTAGTTGCTAAGAGAACTTTTTGCACATTTGATGACTCTGAATGTGATTGCATCTTAGTTGAAGAAACACATGTAAAAAGTTTGTTAGCAGATAGGCTAATCTGCACAAGAACTTGTATTTAAGCCTATAAAACTTGCAGGCAAAAGGATAACATTTGAATTCTAGAATGTTTTGTATTCTTTGCTTACAATAACTGTCTATAAAATCACTGCAAGTTCTAGTGTACTTTCTAGCTAGTTAGGATGACAGTTGAGAGCAGTCTCATCTTTTAGTTGCATTACGTTATTAATACTCTAGCTATATTAAAGAAAAAAATAGGTAAACTAACAAAAGTCAGAAGATGCTACACTATACATGGTTTCTGTTAAATAACTGCTGCTACTAGATAGTAGATACAGGTTTTTGCCATCTTCTTTTCTAGAGGACTGTGATTAATTCCTTGCAAGACAAAGCGAGTAACAGCAATTACATTTTTAGCTTTGCTAACTCTTAAGGATGATCTGGTTGCTACACTGAGGTGTGTACTGTTAATATGTATTCACTTGTCTGAGTGTGGACAGCTGTGAGGCCACAGCAGTAGCTTCTGCAAGCCTGTGAGAGCACCTGCAAACAGCAGCGGTGGGAACCCTAAACCTCAGAGGTCCTTTGGACTTAGAATTTCCGTTGTCTGTAGCTTCTGAGACAGAAATGCTGTTGCAGCTGGGTGATGTTCTGTGAAGGAGCAAGGCAACGTATAGGGAAATATTTAATCTGTGCAGTTTTTGTATTACTAGAATGTTTAACTTCTGGCAAGGTGAAATATGTTTCAACTGGTAGTCACTTTGTGTTGAATTTAGGGGAAACATCTATCACTTGGTTTCTCAGAAACAAGTGACTAAAATCAATTAGACTTGCAGACAAGAGGAACAGAATGCAAACTGTACTTGGTAAAAGTTTGGTAAAGACTGTGTTCAGTTTAAGCTGTGCTGCTAATGTAACATCCTCTTTATGATATGTTGAATAAACAGATGAATGATGCTTAAAAACATCGGGTTTTACAAATGATGTATGCTTTTGTGTTGGCCACTTTCTGCTTATTGAAGATATTCTGTGACATTTTTAGAGAACCTTTCAGCCTTTTCTGCAGCAGGTCTTTGCTGCAAGGTACCCTCTGGCTATAGAAGCGCTGCTAATCTGTCCTATGACTCTCTATCCAGACTTGGTTGAGATAAAAAGTACATAACAAAAAAGGAAAACGATGCTTGCTTGCTTATGCTTTTCAGAGAAACATGGGCAGCCTTAAAAAATTGTAAATAAACTTGTATTCTGAGGTCAAATTGATTGTGAAGACGAAGGTAACTTTTTAAAATACCACTTGCTGTAGTTTGTCATTTTCAGGAAATTGTCCAGCTATAAATCATTGATTTTCATCCAGTACTGATGGGAATAAGTCATCCTTTGCGTGAAGATTTAGAGTTGAGGAAAACGCATGCAGTGTGCTGGGAACTTTAAGCAATTGTTTTAGTATAGGCTGTTTCCGTAATGGACCTCTGCATATACCCTTATGGAACAAAAGCTTTTTAACTTTAAGGGTTGTCGTGGTTTAGTCCCAGCCAGCAACTAAGCACCATGCAGCTGCTTGCTCACTCCCCCTGCCCCGATGGGATGGGGGAGAGAATCAGTGGAGTAAGAGAGAGAAACACTCCTGGGTTGAGATAACAACAGTTTAATAATTGAAATAAAGTAAAATAGTAATGATAATAGTAACAATAAAATAATAATAATAATATACAAAGCAAGTGATGCACAATGCAATTGCTCACCACCCGACGACCGATACCCAGCCAGTTCCCGAGCAGCGATCGCTGCCCCCCGGCCAACCCCCCCCCAGTTCATATACGTCGCCTTATACTGAGCATGACGTCATATGGTATGGAATAGCCCTTTGGGCAGTTTGGATCAACTATTCTGGCTGTGCCCCCTCCCAGTTTCTTGTGCCCCTGGCAGAGCATGGGAAGCTGAAAAGTCCTTGACTAGCATAAGCAGTACTTAGCACCAACTAAAAACATCAGTGTGTTATCAACATTCTTCTCATCCTAAATCCAAAACACAGCACTGTGCCTGCTACTAGGAAGAAAATTAACTCTATCCCAGCTGAAACCAGGACAAGGGTGAAAGACAGTAATTTGGAAGCGATTTCTGTTGCTTCCTATGGTGCAGTCAGCAGTAGTCTGTTAGAATGCTGAAAATGTAAGAATGCTCTGAAGTGACTGGGCTATTTGCATTGCATAGTAGAGAGCATTTACAAAATTATAATCAGTTACCGTAAACTGTCCTTGTGTATAAAGTGGTCAGGAAATCCAAGATTTATGGATTCTGCACACCTGAAATTTTGTTCTGTACTGCCATGTAAACATACGCTTTTATTTTTGTTTTTAGCAGGCTCTTGTTCCATGATACATGCAGAGGGAAAGCATGAAAGGAAAATAAAGATTGTACAGACAGACAAACAGACATGAATCTTATGTTTGCTGTCTTGAAAACTTGATGGTCTAGTGAGTGGTGGAGAGGAATGAACTTTGTGTGAACTGATGCACACAACTGTCTCAAGTACTGAAATGTGTGGTAGCTGGAATAAAGCTTTAGTATGTTGTATAGATTGAGAGTTAAAATTATCAAATCACTTTCAGATGTGTTTTTTAAAACTGAGAAGAGAGTGCTGTATCTTGGTTTTACTTATTATTAGTGCGTTGAATAATGATGAGTTACTGTTCTATTTAATAATAAAATTCAAGTCTTTGATTCTCACGGTCATTGTAGGTAGGCCCATAGTGAGTTGTATGGTATCGCTGCAGCCTGTAACAGGCACAGTCTATCCAAAATCGTTTGTTGCAGGATGCGGACCCTAAATCTTAAAAAATGTTGGGTCCATTTTCAAAAGAAGTTATCTCCATCCTTTCAGCACAAAGTTAACAGATTTTGAATGACCTTAAAAGTCTGTCTTCATTAGTTGTTTGGTTTGTTTTCTCTTCTTGTAGAAGTAAATGAGTTTCCCATTTAAGTTTTGTTTTCGGTATCTTAAAATGTGTAAATACTTAACTGGGTATAGTATTGGTGCTCCCAGATGTTTGTGTTCCGTGAGACACTCCAAAACTCTTCTGTGGCAAGGAAAGCTGTTTAATACAGTAGCACTGACTGTAGCCTTGCATACTTTTTAAGAAAAAACAGCAATAAATAACAGTATAAAGAAAACTTTTCCTGTTCTCATTTCCCTAGGAAGATGTTGATATTCCTAGTAGGCGAGTTTTGATTACTGGTGCGACGGGACTTCTTGGCAGAGCTGTGTTTAAAGAATTTAATGAAAATAACTGGAATGCAGTTGGCTGTGGATACAGGAGAGCTCAGCCCAGATTTGAACAGATTAATCTTCTGGACTCTATTGCAGTTCATGACATTATCCATGAGTTTCAGGTAAGTTTCTGGAGTATGAAGTATATGGATGGGGTACTTTATACATCTAGTAATCAGCTGACGGTGCTGTTCTGATACTGGGTTCATGTGGCTTTAGTGGGGCTAATGCTTTGGCAGAGCTCTGAAAAGTTATATGGCTGCCTTTTCTGCCACATCTGGAAGTGTAGGTTTGCTCTATAGATACAGATAGTTCTGAACTTTGCTATCATCACCATAGACAGACTGCAGGTAACAGATGTACATGTCAGCGCACTTGTATTGATATTTGAAAGAAAAAAATGTGTGAGTTATTGACGGTAATATGAGGTGGTTCTTTCAAAGTTGAATAATACTTGAATACAATAGCAGTAACTGCTTGGCTACCGTGCGGCGCAGTAAGAAGTTCACTGGCTTTTCAATCTGATTTGCAAGGGGAATATATAAAACCTGAACTACTTCATGCAGGGTGCCATTCTATAAAATGGCTTTAAATATCTTCTTAATAGTCTGCATATGTCATATAAGCCATGTGTAAGTGGCTTATCTAAAAATAGTTTGGCTAATGGTTTTTTTAAGTACTGTTACGTGTGTGAGAGAGAATTATTATTATATTTTATATTATTATACTGAGTTGAAAAGAAAAAAAAACAACTTCAGTCTTGCTGTAAAATCGAAGCTACTGAAGATCATAATTGCAAAATTAATGTTCAATTTTTTGGTATTCTAATATGAAATCTTGAAGCAGCATTGGTTCTATTTTACTTCCTAAGGAAAACATGCTCCTTGGAATGCTATGATTAAAAATAATACTATTTTATTACTTCTCACAAGTTAGTGAAATGCCTTTTTGCCTGAGGGAGTTCATCGCTAGAGTTAGGTTGCAACTGCAATCTCTTGACAATGTTTGTTGTTTAAAATTAGTCTTTAATTTCCAGCCTCATGTTATAGTGCATTGTGCTGCTGAGAGAAGGCCAGATGTTGTAGAAAGTCAACCAGATGCTGCTTCTCAGCTCAATGTGGCTGCTTCAGGGAACTTAGCAAAAGAGGCAGGTAAGGAGACCATCTAGTGGATTTGGTTTCTTGTTAAAATACAGCATTTATTTATACAGGACCATAAATACGAATAAGTTACTCAAAGTGCTGAATGTCATTTCTGCAATCAGTGTGCAGTCGATCCATTTTCTGTAAGGGTAGCATGCATGTCTGTGTGAAGGATCAGTGAACAGACAAAGCAGTGGGAATGAATGGGGCTAGAAGATGAGGTCTTTTGGAGATTTGTTTAAATGTTTATTGGGGTTTCAAGCAAGGCATGAATTAAAATAGGCTATGTATAAACATTTTCTTCCTAGCTGGAGTTGGAGCGTTTCTGATCTACATTAGTACAGACTACGTATTTGATGGAACAAGCCCTCCGTATAAAGAGACTGATGTACCAAATCCCCTGAATTTATACGGTAAAACCAAACTGGAGGGTGAAAAGGCAGTCCTGGAAAATAATGAAGGTAAGAATACACCCACACATTTTTAATAGAGGCTTTCTGTTCTTTTAGTTGTATGTTAGCTTAGTAGACTCAAGTCAGTGGTAAAGTTGCAAATCCATGGAAACGAGATTTAGAAAAGAATGTGATTAGGAGTCAGTCTCCTTGCTCAAAAACAATTCCTATTGCTTATAGGTTGACTAAAGCTTTATTTCTTACTTGTTGCCGATCTTCGTTTGTTACTAGTCTCTGCTGATGGACATTCACAAGCCTTTGTCTACTGTGAATCAACTATTCCTAAGGAAAGATAAAATACATCATCAATCTATTGTACTGGCACAAGCTTTACCACAGTTGATATATAGCTGCTGTTATCTGGGGGGATGCATTGCAGCTGTCCTAAATGTATGTTTACTTAAAGGCAAAAACAGACTTGCGAGTCAATAATAATGCAGATAAAATCAACATAGGCTTTTGTTGTTACTCTTGGTTTTCTTGCTGATCTCCTGTTTCACTCTCGTTACATAAAACATCAGGACATCCATTTTATTTTTACCCACCCAGCTTACCACACACATCGGATTCCTGCTTTGTCACACTTTCTAAAGGGCTAGTAACATAGTTCTGGTTTTAAGCAAATAATTTTTTTTATTTTTTATTTAAATGTTTTCTTCATTAAAATTGGCACTCAAAATATAAAAACATAATTTTAAAAATTCTATTCAATAAAGGAAAAAAGCTTGGGACCGAATATGTTCCCTTGCATTTGAAACTGATTTCTTGTACAAAAGAGAGGTTTGGTTGTTTCTAGTTAGTATGCTGTCAGGTTCCATTCACAGATTATAAGGAAAGAAGCACTTCTATTTCCCAAAGAATTTGAAGAAAATAATCTCACTGCACTTGCAGAAGAGGCCTCTGATATCAGTATGATACTTGCACTGTGGTTCTGGTCTGCCTAACCAGAGAATTGAACAATTGATAAATTAGCGTGATGGTCTTTCAGTAAGTAAATATATACTAGATTTGAAAATGATAGGCCTTAATATATGTTTGTCATTACTAGTAAGAAATAGACTTTCTAAAAAATACTTTGATAGGAAAAGTCTTATTTAAATAAAAATCAATTTAAATAAAAAGTTATTCACTCCACCTCTTACTTAAATATCACCTCTGAATTTGACTGTGATGCTGTGTGCACCCTCTTCTATACTGGTAATGAAAGTAAGGCTGCACCAAATTGAAGTACGTGTGGGTATCTTGCTAGATCCTTCCCCCAGCTCAGCACTTCAGTTTTGTTTTGTAACCTTTTTGAGCATGTTCTGTCAGGCAGTAGTGGGGTGCAGCAGTGGTATTACTAGCAGAAGGAATTTTGAGATGGTGCTGAGTAAGATGCTTGAAAACATCGATTCCATTGTTTCATACAAATATAAATATTTTACACGTATTAGTCTTCCAACCACTCATTTGCTAATATTGTATAGGTAGAATTCAGTCTGTCAAATGTCTGTAGTTGTGTGAAGAACTTCCCTGTCTGTTTCTGTTGTATAGTGCAATAATCTCCACTAATAGTTTGGGGGTTTGTGTATTTTTTAAAATATTATTTTACTTTGGTTAGGAGAGGATACGAGTTATATTTAGTACTCATGTTTCTAAACCAAAAAAGTTTCAGTAGGTCTTCAGAACCATTGGTAATGAAGATGATGCTCTCCAAGATAGCTCCCTGCAAACAAAAGGAAGGCAGGCAGTCTTTTTCTCAAATGATTAATACTTCTAAAGATACTAAAAAAAGAGCTATTTTTAGCAGTATTTAAAGAGAGGAAGAACATATTTGCTGAGTGACCAAATAACTGTATTTAGAGCAGCAGGAAATCAGTGTCATGTTGTGGTTTTTATTGTATTTGTTTTTCTTCTGCAAGTCCTTTAGGTTTGTTTTTCTGTGAGAAGAATTTTTGTGTTAGCTTTTTCTTTTTGTCTTTCTAATAGCTATAGCATTTTCCTACAAATCTTTAAGAATTGCAATGATTTGGGGATTTCCACTTCTGATTTCAGGACTGATTTTATTTTTTTTAAGTAAAAATATTTGTATTACTTTTAATGAATTTGTCATAGCCGCCTTGGATTTCCCTCAAAGAGGCTTTTTGAGTCTCCATGACTGAGATAAGACTAGTACGATGTATTCCATCATAAAATATCCTTCTCTTTGCACTTGTTTACTGTTGGTTTAATTTCTCAAATTGTGATCTTGAAATCTAATATTGTTTACTACTGTATTCTGTGAACCTATTCCTTATTTGCCAAGCTTTTTATTCATTCCAAGGTTCGTGTCTCTTTCTGGTAAATAATATCCCTCCTTTATGCAGGAGGCTTCTGCATGCTGGGCGAAAAATCTTTGTAATTGATGCCTGAATATGGTGATTTGTGATTGGGGATTTTTGCTCTTGCTCTTACCCAGGGAGGATGGTGAGTGCTGGAGTAACTGCATAGTGTAGTTGGGTTTTTTTTATTTTTTTAAATTTTTGTTCTAATCCAAACAGGCCTTCATTAACATTGCAAGAGAAAAAAGAAAGCTTGTTACCTTCATAGAAATCAATGGTGTAAATGGAAATAGGTTTATATAAACTTAATGTTTATAAACTCTTTCACTTTATATAATTAAAATGATATTCTGAGTGCAAACATATTAATTGCATTTTCTTTGTGATTTATAGATGCTTAATATCACCAACGTATTTCTTAACACTTCCAAAACACTTTTCAAGTTATGCTACAGGATTCATACCTATTCATAACAATGTTAATACTTGTTAAAATATTCTTTCTTTTAGATGCTGCAGTACTTAGGATTCCTGTCTTGTATGGAGAGGTAGAAAGACTGGAGGAAAGTGCTGTGACTGTTATGTTTGATAAAGTGCAGTTCAGTAATAAATCTGCCAACATGGACCACTGGCAACAAAGATTTCCCACTAATGTCAAGGATGTAGCAGCTGTTTGCAGACAACTAGCAGAGAAGAGAATGCTGGTAAGAATTTAAAGAAACAAGCCTCTTCAAGGTAAAAAGAGTTCCAGTTCTTGGCTTTGTTTCTGAACAACTGAGAACTGCATATAACCTGCATTATTCTTTGCATTTCTGGAACGCTGGGAGGGAGGAAAGAACTAGCTGTAACAGTATACTATCTTTACATGACAGTGTGTGGCTATTTTGATATGTGAAACAAAAGCGAGTGAAGTGATGGGGCAGATTCTTCTGAAAATTGCCACGTGTCTTGTAGTATACAGGAGAGAAATGCAAATGCCTAACTTACTCTAATATGCCTTTTACAAATTGCCATTTTGGACTGAAAAAAAACCATGGTGGTTGAATGTAATTCTCAAAGATGCCCTTGTTTATTGTATTAAGAACACTGAGGTGGCAAAAAAAAGGCACTGGACTTAAATGCTTTATTGTGTTTATTCACTAACAGCACCGTCAGATTACCATCTTTGCAAGGTAACAAAACCAACCAACCACCTTTATTTTTCATACATACCACTTTGAAAAAAATGGATCATGCATTATATGGTGGAAGTGGTGTGATCAATTTCTTTGATAGGACTTGTAGATGGTTTGCAATTTAACATTCAGAATGTGTGTGGTGCCTTTTGCATTTGTTTTTCAAGTAAATGAATAGTATAGGACCACCAAGTTCCTCCTCCCCAGCTATTTGACCTTGGTTGGCTGGCTTGCTCCTTTCCCTCCTGTTAATTCCACAGAATGAATGAAAGCTGTTTGTGAAAAGTCAGCTCAGGTATACATAACAGCAGTTTTCAGTCTCAGTCCCTAGTCAGGTGTTCTCTAAAAATGCACGAGATTTCCAGAACATCAGTGAGGTGCTGTAACATGCCTTTCAGGATAGGATCTTGCTGGAAGATTATTCTGCACAATTCTTGTACAGGAATTAGTCTGAGGGCTAGCTAGCTGCTTTTTTTTTTCACCTGTGCTTCCTGTTTCTTCCGTAGGACCCATCAGTAAAAGGAACATTTCACTGGTCTGGCAATGAACAGATGACTAAGTATGAAATGGCATGTGCAATTGCAGATGCTTTCAACCTACCCAGCAGCCACTTGAGACCAGTAAGTCATGTGTTGTTCAACCTGTAGAAAGATGGATGTGCTTTATCGTTTCAAGCAGTAGGTCTCATGCTAGCTATACAAGTAAGCCTGCTCTTCAGGACGATCTGTGTGAGTATGTCTAGCACAGCAGATGTATTGCTGAGGATGCTGTCTGGTATCTAACTCAAGAAAACAGCAGCTGCTTTGACCTGCTGAATTACGGAAATTACCTAGTCAGTCAGTAACCAGTTTCGCAGTCTGTAGTGTAATGGTATTTCCGCAGAACAGTTCCCCTTAGTCACAAGTAAATCCATATTTTTTGTTTTATTTTTGTCCTTAAAAAAAGCTTACAGATTGACAGAATGTTGACTTGAAGGTAGGAATCTGTAAGAACTTTTCAATGTCCAGATTTATTTCCAAATATGTGCACTTAAGAACTTCAAATCGTTTTTACTTTGCTTAAAACACTTGTCCTGCAGTTTTACTGACACTTAAAAGACAGACTGCTCTTAAAGACATACTGGTAATGTTGTGAGAATATAATTTATTTATTTATAAATA